AAAAAAATCATGAATTTTGTCTTTTTAGTTCATTTATTGTCAAAATTAAAATTTAAACATTAATTACACAATCAATTCTTTGCTCATGTTCTCCCTCCTTCTGCTCCTCCTTGGGACCTTGGGAGCTCAGTCCAGTGCTCCTGTGTGGGTCTCTGTCTCGATCTCTATCCATCACCAGATGAAGATTCTATGATGATATGCAAGATATTCGTCAGTATTGCTCTAGGATAGGGTCATTTCAGGTTCCCAATCCTCAGCTGCCCAAGGAACTAACTGGGAACCTCATCTTGGGCACTAGGGAGCCCCTCTAGGGTCAAGTCGCTTGCCCACCCTAAAGTGGCTCCCTTAACTAAGAATTGTGGTTCCGTGCTCCCCTATCCACCTTTCCTTTATCCCAATTCTCCCGTTTCCCAGGTCCCCCCTCCTTCCCTTCTACCTTTTCTCTCCCCATCTCCCCTTACCCCCATCCCACCCCCCCCCCCAAGATCCCATTTTCTCCCCGGAAATTTGGTCTACTTCCCTTAGCGAAGAGGACAACTATATGTTTTTCCTTCGGTTCACCTTCTTCCTTAGCTTCTTTAGGTTCACCTATTGTAGACTCCGTGGTCCTTATTTATGGCTAGAAACCAATTATGAGTGAGTACATCCCATATTCATCTTTTTGGGTCTGGGACACCTCACTCAGGATAGTGTTTTCTATTTCCATCCATTTGCATGCAAAATTTGAGAAGTAATTACACAATCAAGAAAGAACATCGATACAATGAACGCTTGATATCTCTAGAAATTTAAACAGCATTGGATTAGTACTTTATGCCCTGACCACAATTGTCTTCTACTAGAAGTTGGGCTTGTGTAATTTTTTTTTCTCCCATGAAGGAGGACCATTGATGAGTTATTTCCACTATTAGGGAAAATTAAAAAACATTTTCCATGAAGGAATCTTTAATCCCCATCTGAGGGGAAAAAAACTAAAAGCTAAAAAACAAACAACCAAAAACCATTTAAACCAAAGCTTAGCAAACAGACAACAAGAAACTTCTAAATCCTGGGCCTGCTGTGCTTCTCCAGGGTGCAGCAATGAGACCGCTTGCCCTCAGTCTGTGGCTCAGATGCCCTTGCTCTCTGCCACCTCACAGACTGACCGGCAGGGGGAGCTCTGAGTTTCAGCTGTCCTGAATTTCTTACATCTGAGTCTTCTTTCATCCTCTACTTTTCCTGGGAAATGTCTTTTTTTTCTTTCCTAATTTTCATTTATGAGACCTTTTAATTTTTAGGCCTTGATTCAGTATTTTACCCTTTCTTACTGGGAAAATCCTTTATTAAACATTTTTCCTTTTCCATCAATAACTTTTCTTGTCTTTTATTTCCTTTCCTTTCCTCTTCTCTTTTGAAAAGATTTCCTTCTTTATCTCCTGTCTTTCCTTTTCTCTACTGAGAGGGCCCTTTTCCTTCATTTATTCTCTGTCTCAGGAGCCATTCCATTCCTATCTTTAATATTTGCAAAAACTGCGCAGTTACCGCTTTTTCTTTTGACAAGCATTTAGCAACTGTGCCTTTTGTTGCTCCTGAGATGGTGAATTTAAATTCCCCATAATCCTACCAATGCTGGAGTTCTCTTACCCTGAGAGCAAACTTTCCTCCAGTCCTTAAAGAGTCCAAATCCACTGTTGTTCTTCAAGCCCCACATTGGTTGCCAAAGTTGTAGGTCAAGTGTGGATTCACATGGGTCCCTGGATGGAGGGCTCAGGGGGTCTCTAAGAATGAATCTAGCCTTGCCAGCTGCAGGGGGCTTAGTCTCTCACAGATTGAGTCATCTCCCCCTTTTGTCTAAATAAGAGCATTCCAAACCCAACACAAAACTATATACAATAGGAACAGATATCAAGTATAAATTACAACCAATATAAACAATATTAAGCAAGGAACACATGATAATGTTTTTTAATAAACACTATTCTAAAGAGTCTAAGTCTTGCATCAGAAACTGGCTTGGCTAAATCATAAGAGGAAGGTAACTAAGACTATCTAATCTTCAACCCCATTGAAGGCCTGAGAAGGGAGATAATATTACTTGAGTAGTCAGGAAGTACAATCAACCTTGTCGAGCAGACACACAGGGAACAGGCTCGGCAGTACCTCAGCCTCTTTCTGCCATCTGGTGGCAACCAGGCAGAAAGACATGAGCATATGACAAGCAGGGGGACAGAACCTTTGGTTACCATGGGACCCTAGGCTAAGTCAGTCTGAGGGAGTCACCCATTCTGCCCTAAAGCTCTTGATAATGCCTCTCCCTGGGCAAGGCCTCAGTCACTCCCTCCACACTGGCCCTAAGTCACCAAGCTGCAGAGATGGAAGGACTGTGTAAGGCCCACAGTCACAAGGGACACCATGGTAGTGCAGAGACCCAGCCTGATCACCCAGGTGAGTAGGCACGGGCAGAGTGATCCTGAGGAAGGGACAGCTAAGAACCTTCTTCCAAACCTTGGTCTAGAGAAGACCCCAAAGAACATGTTGGTGTACTGAACAGCGATGGCTAAGCCTACCTTGTTGGGGCTCCCAAGGTTCAGTCTATTATCCTAAAATCCTGGTAACATCAGGCGTCCTCTAAAGGCCTGGAAGGAGACCCTGGAAATGCTGGCAGTAAGATGCCTAAAGGAGACAGAACCAAAATGAAGTCAAAGAGGGGAGGCTTCATCCCCTTTAGTCCTCTGGGGGCCCCGTGAACCAGTGTAAGAGCAGTTTCTCAATACCTGCTACATAGTCACGGCCAACAGAGTTCCCCTTGTTTCAGACAGGGTCTCATGCAGTCCAGGCTGGCCTTCAACTCTTGGGCATTCTGCCCATCCTCCCCCTTCTAGCATCTAAGAGGTGGGATTCTAGGTGTGCACACCAGATTGCTTTTCTAAGCCAGGTTAAATATTCCCATCTGAACAAATAGCATAGCAGTGCTTGGGGGACTCACTCCCAGAAGCCTCAGGGACAAAGCAAGGGTGATAATATAGCCATAAGTGCTAACTTGTCTGCCTGCCTGCCCGGCCTGCCCTGCCTGGCACTGATAGCATTAGGGGCACATGCTCCTTACCTTGTCCATTTCTATCAGCCCAATGCTTGATCATCAGGCCTGCAGTCATCCATAAAGGTGCTGCATGGGAACAAAGGGCAGGAAGGGAGAGCTCAGCACCCAGCTGAGGTTATTTCCCTCCCTTCAGTGTGAGCACCCCTCCCACGCCCAAGTAATTCCAGCCTAATGCCCAATGGCCCCAAGCATCCTAAACAAAGACCTCCACTGGGAACGATCTTTATCCAGGGACCCAGAAAATCCATCAAATGGCTCTTCCACCCCCTATGGGATGTAGGAGGTAAGAACCTACTGGTCAAATGATAAATCTGTAGTTCTTGAGGATGTTCCAGGGGTTTCAGGCCATGAGGACTGACTCCTCCCTTATGAATTGGCTCACCCTACCTCCTGATATCCTAATAACACCAGAAAGGTAAACAGCAGCTTTGCTACTCATTGGGATGTAAATTACCATACAGGGGCTGGAGAGATGGCTCAAGGGTTAAAGTGAAAAGCACCTGTTGCTTTTCCAGAGGACCAACTTTGGTTCTCAGCAACTACATCAGGTGGCTGTAACTCCACTTCCAGGGGATCTAAAGTCATCTTCAGGCCTCTGCACATGGGGCACATACACACACAGAGGCAAATACGCACCCACATAAATAAGATAAATAATATGCATTTTTAAATTAAAACTAATGTCCGGTGCTAGGAAACCTGCAGGGAATCTTTCCTGGGTAGCTAAAATGCTTTGGCCCTCTGAGCTAAGCACCCAAGAGCATTCACAGAAGTGAGTCAAATGCACAGCCACACTTGGAGATAAGGAGAATGGTACTGTAACGTTCCCTTCCCTTATTTGGGTACTGGTCATGTGATTATGAGGGAGAGTGGAGTAAATGTAGATTCTCTTGGCTTAATGCTTATGTATAATTTCCTGTATGTGCATCATATTTTAATAGAGTCTTATTCATTTTCATTAATATTTTTGTTTCTGTATATGTGGGGTTTGGGGGGCCTTTTTGTTGTTTTTGGGGTTATGTGAGACTGCACCAGTGTATACGTGGGGGTCAGAGGTCGGCATCTTTTGCCAGAGTCTTCGAGCTCCACTTCCCGCCCCCACCCAAGTTTTTCTGCACTAGGAGCGCACAGATTAGTCAGGCTAAGGGGCTGGTGAGCTCTGGGGATCCACCTGTCTCTATCCACACATACCCACCCCGCAGTCCAGCGTTTTACATGGGTGCTACCTGAACTTGTTTGGGTCCTCAGGCTTGTCCTGCATACAGTTCATCGACTGGGACTTTCTCCATAACCTGGACTTAGGTTTCCCTCCCTTTACGTTAAAATTTTATTAATTTATTTTTGTATGTGTGTGATGTATGTGTGGGCATATTTGTGCCACGGTACGTATGTGGAGGTCGAGGACAATTTCTGTGCGTCGGTTCTCACGGAAGCCTTTATTCGCAGGTGCCGGGATCGAACTTGGGTGCTTCTCTAAGCCATCTGGGAAGTTTTAAGATTGGGGAAACAAGTTCTCACTCTGTAGTCCAGGCTTGCTTGAACCTCTGATCCTCTTGCCTCACAGTCTCTCAAGGTTTGGCACTACCGGTGCGAGCCCTCACTCCCTGGGCATTCCGTAAGATTTTTTTTTAATAAAAAAAAAAAACAAAAAAAAAACATTATCCCATGCTCCTTCGCTTTATGTATTGTTCACAGAGGAAATCACGGAACCCACCTGAAATAGCCTGGCTTGTGGGATCCTGACTCCAACCTAATGAAAATTTTCCCACCCCTTTCTTCCTGCCTTGATAATTCCGGTGAAACGCGGGCAGGCTGGTTGTTCTGGGAGGGATCAGGAGGTACACGCGTACGTACTCTCAGTAGTCTCCATAGTCGGTTTTCGCCTTAACGTTCCGCCCTCTAAGCCTTTACCAGTCGGTGTCACGTGACCGCCTAGTCAGCTGACCTGTGTTGAGCCGGAAGAATCCCTGAAAGGAGTCGGTCTCTTGGCACCATGGTGAGGGATTAGTAGAGATGTGAAGATGAGTTTCGGGTGAGAAGAGGCTTGGTGGCTCTAGGAGAGTAGGGAGAGACTCTTCACTGGCGCCTCTGGGTGCGGCGGGGCGGCCGAGTCCGCAGGCTCAGCCACGCATCACAGCATGGGTAGGGGACCGCGTTCATCCCTGGGCCTGGAAGGACCCACCCGGATTCTCACGCACTCACCACGGTCCTACGAGGACCTCCCGCGGGAGCCCACTTCCCCAGATGTCGGGTGATCAAGACGAGAATATGCTTAGGATCGGTCCACACCGTTAGGAAACCTCTCCGCTTTCCAGAGCCAGGAAGTGGTTTTTGATTGGATGAGCTTCCTGACTCATACATCCATTCATTCGGCAGATTCACGTTGAGCGTCCAGCCAGCACAGGCACCGCGATTTCAGCTGCAAAAGGAGAGGGCAAGGCAGAAGCAGGGATTGGCAGGCATAGTTCTTTCTCCAACCACGGAGACTTTTTGAGCCCTCTCAGTGAAGGGTCGTTTGTGTAATCCTTTCGGGAAGCAGCGGCAACAGAAGGGTGTCCTAAGACAGAACAGTTGTACAGCCTCTGGAAGAGCTAGGCCCCTGGGAGAGTGCACATCTTGTCTCGCTAGAGCTTCGTGAAGATGGGGCAAGATAAGCAAAGATCAAATCTTGATGGGACTTGGATTACCATTTATCAAACTAGAATTCCCTCCAACCGCCCACAGTGCCTTGTAATAAAGAGGAAATTATGGGAAGTAGGATCTGGTGCTGTAACTCAGTGGTAGACATACCCGAGGCTCTGATTTTGAGCCCCAGCACTGCCAACAACAAGGCCCCAAAAACCTAGAATCAGGTAGCATCGAGCAAGCTGTTGGGCTGGAGCATGGTGGGCCTGCCACCTGTTGATGCTTGTTGAGCAGATAGAGTAAAAGTCAGAACAAGGTCAGGTGGCATGCGGGCAGGGAGAGCGCAGCACCCAAGACAGTCTGGTGATAAGGAGAACAAGTGGCCAGAGAGTGCGCATCCTGAACATGGATCCTGGGCACACCTCAGCCCTTTCTGCAGCCTGACTTCCCACCTTACCCTCTTACAGAGATTCCGGTTCTGTGGCGATCTGGACTGTCCTGACTGGGTCCTGGCAGAGATCAGCACACTGGCCAAGATTGTTGAGTGCACCAGTTTACTTGGGGTTGGGGGGGAGGAGGGAGGAGCTTGAGACTGGGAGCCTGGGGTGGGGGGAGTTGGGAGTGGGGGGAACCGAGTCTCCCTCGTGGAACCGCCATGCTATGTGACTGTGACTGTGGTCACGTTCTTCTTCAGTCAATCCTCCAGAAATGAGGGGTAAGGTGGGTGGGTCAGTCTGTCTGAAACAGGGTCATCCTTTGCAGTCCTCTGTGAAGCTGCGGCTGCTGTGTAGCCAGGTGCTAAAGGAGCTTCTGGGGCAGGGCATTGATGTGAGTACAGGACCCAACACTCCATTGACCGATAACCTTATGAGCCCCATAGAAGTCTGTTCTGAAGCCTCTCAGCCCCCTTGGACATCCCCTTCCTTCCCAGAACATTCCTTACCGAAGGATCTGGGCTAGGGGCAAGGGGCTGGAGACAGGGCTCTAGCACCCCCTGAGGACCTCCTTTCCCCACAGTATGAGAAGATCCTGAAGCTTACTGCTGATGCCAAGTTTGGTGAGTACCCCGTTCCGGGAACCACAACCTTCCTTGACCCTCCTGCTTCAGAGGAGGACAGGAAGGGAAGAACCATATTGCTAGTCCTGTCCCCATCCTCTCCCAGCTTGTGCTGGTCCAGTAGTATTGCCCAGGGTTCAAGAAACTTGGGGTCCAAAGCTGAAGATAACAGGGCACGGGGGTGGTCGGGGTCACTGTGCCATCCCCTGCCCAACCTGTGTGCCCAACTGTAGAGTCTGGAGATGTAAAGGCCACAGTCGCGGTGCTGAGTTTCATCCTCTCGAGTGCAGCCAAGCACAGTGTGGACAGCGATTCCTTGTCCAGTGAGCTACAGCAGCTGGGGCTGCCCAGAGGTATGCAGGGTGGACAGGCAGGTGGGAAACCTGTGGGGAGGGCTTCCCGGAGGATACACTGAGGCTTCATGGGCCCTGGATCCTGAGACCCACCCTCTAAGCCCGATGCCAGGCTCCACCTGCCACCTCAACAGAGCTCCGTCTACCTGCAGAGCACGCCACCAGCCTGTGCCGCTGTTATGAAGAGAAGCAGAGCCCCCTACAGGAGCACCTTCGGGCCTGCAGCTTGCGCGGTGAGTAGGAAAACAGCTGGTGGGGTGGGCGGGGCTGGGCTGTACTCTTGAAGGTACAAACACAAGCCAAACGCCTTGGCTCCAGGGGAAGCCTGAACCACTGGTGCACCCAGAGCAGTTGAAGGGTTTAGAACTGGCGAAGGATCTCACGACTATGGCTTGAGTTTCTTTTCTCTGAGGCCCATGGTTGATACTCAAGTACTTGTCTGTCCTACAGGCCTGGGTTGAAGGGTTGTGAAATGAGCCCCATCGGGGAGTGAGGTGGGTGTCTTCCTGGCTTGCCTGATTGACAGCTGCCTGACTTCTTGCCTGCAGTGAACAAGCTGGCCAATGTGAGCTGGCGGGTGGACTACACCCTGAGCTCCAGCCTGCTGCGTTCTGTCGAGGAGCCCATGGTGCACCTGCAGCTAGAGGTTGTGCCTGCACCGGGTGCCCTAGCCCAACCTGTTTCCATGTCCCTCTCGGCAGACAAATTCCAGGTTCTCCTGGCAGGTGAGACTGGACCTACAGGGGGTGGGGACCCACCTGGGTCTGGCTGACTTAGAACTGGCTATAAAGGCCAAGCTGGCCTTAGACTAGCTTCTGTTCCTTGTCACCCCCCGTGGACCCCCTTTCCCTGCAGAACTGAAGCAAGCCCAGACCCTGATGGCGGCTTTGAGCTGAGAAGGGTGTGGGTGTTCCCGGCCTCTGTGGAGCTGCCCTACCTGCACTGAGTCGCTCCCCTCCACACGTCACTTCCAAAGGTGGCTCTGTTCTCTTGGCCCTCTGGCTGCTGGCTTTCTCCATGGGACTCCTGGGGATCTTCCATAGAATTCCCTTCTTTCCTTTGAAAAAAAAAATACTTATTGACCATTTTTTACAGGAAAAAAAGAATAAACTTGTATACAGAAACGCGTATGGGGCTTGCTTGCTTCTGTTGTTTTCGAAAGAAGTCCTGAGGCCAAGTTGGACTCCACCTTGGTATCTAGTTGAGGTCGATCTTAAACTTGTAATCCTTCTGCCTCTACTTCTTGAGATTACAGCCATGCACCGCCACACCTGGTTTATGTGGCATTGGGAACAAACCCAGGGCTTCATGCGTGTCGGGCAAGCTCTTACGTCCTACCCTGCCCATCACTTATTTCCTCAACCCTGGGACCAAGGACCAGAGTGAACAGCATGTCTACAGCTAGGCAAGTTGGGGTACAAACTCTGACTTGTGAGGCTTTTGGCTCTGCCCCTTCTGCCCTTGTCTTCAGGCTCCCAACAAGTGAGTGACAGTGGGGCTGGTGCCTGGGGCAGAGAAAAGAAAGAGAATCTCCTTGCTGTGGTTGCTAGGATGAGAAGACTCCAAGCCTGAACTCCTCCTTAGCAAGAGGTAGGGTGCTGCAAACTCAATGTTCACACACACACACACACATATGTATACACACGCACACATGCACACACACACACACACACACATACACGAATGCGCATACACCATGTCTGAAGCCACCCCTCTGTCCATGTATCTAGAAGGGCCCTTGTGAGGGTACAGTGAGTAGGTGGCCTACATGGGGAAGGAAGGATGACTCCAGAAAACTGTCCCTAACCTTCAGACACACTGAAGACACACTGACAGTGTACCCCACCGCTCAGTGTGAGCCCCCACCCACAGAGTGAAAGGCGGTTTGTAAAAGATGGACCTGGAAACTGAGTGGTGGTGGTGTACATTTTTAATCCTAGCACTCAGGAGGCAGAGGCAGGGGGATCTTTATAAGTTCAAGGTCAGCCTGGTCTACAAAGCAAGTTCCAGGACAGCCAGGGCGACACAGAGAAACCCTGTCTTGGAAAACAAAGCAAGCTAAGATGAGCATGGTAGTCAATACCATTAATCCAGTCAATGCCTTTAATCCCGCACTCCTGAAGCAGAGGCAGGTGAGTCTCTGTGAGCTCAAAGCCAGACTGGTCTGCACAGCCAGTTCTAGGAAAGCCAGGGCTATATATATAGTGAGGCCCTATCTTTAAAAACTTTTTTTAAATGTTGATGTGAAAGTGGATATTTGCATGATGCTGAGGAAATAATCAGTCTTACACCCAGCTGCCCCCAGGTAGGAACTGCATAAACAAAGTAGCTTGTCTCACAAGAGAACATTTTGGCTTTCAAGAGGAATGAGCTAGGGAGTATAACAGCACAGGCAAATCTGGGAGTAGAAGGTAAAATATATTCCCTATGCTGTGATAAGGGCAGTTAACATAGATGGCTCAGGGGTCAAGGTACATGCTTTTGATTCTGGAAACCCATGTAAAAGAGCAGGATGCAGTAGCAAGCATTTACAATCTCAGCACTCTTAAGTCAAGACAAGGGGCGGAGACAGGAGAATTGCCCAGAAGCCCTGGTGATAGCTAGGCTGGGGTACAGCGGCATAAATGAGAGAGGGCTGCTGCAACCGGCAGGAGAGAACTGACTCCTGCAAGTTGACCTCTGACCTCCACATATGCACTGTGGAACACAAATGCCCCCCATCGTATACACGTCACAACAACAACATAATTAACAAAAAGAATACAACATGGGAGCCATCCCATCAAAGTTCTGCTGCACAACAGTGCTACCTACAGATCCCATGCTGCACTTGTTCATCTTGGACAAGGGAAACTTTATTCTTACCATCAACTTCCTCCCTTCTGCAGCCATCCTACTGTCCCTTTGTATGTTTGGTTAATTTAGATGCCCCATGTAAATGGAATCTCAGGGTCCTTCTGGACCGATCTACCACTTGGCATGATGTCCTCAAGGTTATCTATGCTGCTGCCTGTGGCGGGCAGTGAATAACATTCTACTCTGCTTATAACCCTCGTGCTGTTTCTTAAGATTCATCTTTATAACTTGTGCGTGTGCCCAGGTGTATGTACACACGTGCGCTCACTAGTTCATGTTCTCACACGCGAGTACAATTGCCTGATGAGACCAAAGGTTTCGGATCCCCTTGGAGCTACAGTTGTGAGCTGTCAGATGTGGGTGCTGAGAACCAAGCTTGGTCACAGTCTTGGCCTTTTGTCACTGCAAGAGAAAGGTGACCAAGACCACTATGATTGGCAGAGTATCTGAAGAATAAGTGCTTTAACAACTGAGCTATCTTTCCAGCCCAGTATATATGCCACATGTTTCCCCCCCCAATGCATTTTTGTTTGTTTTTTTTTATGCCACATGTTATAATAATCTGTGTATCCACAGATAGCTAGCACGGTGGTTTCTTCTCTGTAATGATATATATATCATATATATATATGGGTCTAATCTCCTGAGTGTGAGGAGCAGAATTTAAGACAATTCTGAAGCCATGTTTGAGGCCTCTCAGCAGTAGTGTTCCTCCCTCCCCCTGGGAACCAAGAATGGAACAGCTACACATGCACGGACTGAGATGTTGGGAACTTTCCATCTCCCTGAATAGGGGCAAGATAACCTTTAGGTGTTGACTAAGTCCCTGGGAAAGGGGCAAAGTGACTCTCAGATGTTTCCCCTTACCTCATCTGATCTGGCAACGGCTCTCCAGGCAATTATTGATAATAGACCTTTTGAATAAGCCAATTAAAATAGTTAATAAACAACCCCCAGACACCCCCCTTGCTTCTGTGTTTTTTTCCTTTAAAAATAGCTTGTATCAGCCATTCGGGGTCTTTCTAGCCTCTCGAATGCTGAAAGACCCTGTCATGACAGAATTAATAAAATCCTCATGCTTTTACATCAGCTGTGGTGTAAGAGATGGTCTCTTGGGGTGACTCCTCCTCGGTAATTGGAATCTAGGGTCCATAATTATGTATTTGTCACACTCAGCCAGGTGTGGCAGCATCTTTAATTCCAGCAGGGACAGGTGGATCTCTGAGTTTGAGGCCATCCTGGTCTACACAGCAAGTTTCAGGTCAGCTAGGGCTATCTAGTGAGACCCTGTCTCAAAAACACAAAACAAAACAAAATGCGAAACCCCCTCATACTTGATGGTTAGAAAGATGGAGGGCACTTGGTGCTCTTTCAGAGGATCCGCTTTCAGTTCCCCGCACCCTATGGTGGAACAAAACCATCTATAATTCTAGTTACAGGGATCCAATGCCTTCTTCTCACCTCAGAGTGCAACCAGACAGGCACATGAAGCACATACATACATGTAGATAAACACTTACATACTTAAAATAAAAACAAAATAAATCTTTTTAAAAGCGCATACTGAAACCAGGCATAATGGATGTCTTACTTTCCTGTTGCTGCGACAAAACACCATGACCAAAAAATGTCATGATATTTCATTTGTATTTTAGTAAATAAAGCTTACCTGAAGATCAGAGAGTACAACAGTTCCACTGGGCAGTCTTACAGACCAGGCAGTGGTCACACACACCTTTAATCCCAGCAGCTACACTAGTTCCCCAAAGAAGCTGGCAGTAGTGGTGCACACCTTTAATCCCAGCGCTAGGAATGCAAAACAGGAAGAAACAGCTCTCAGCTCAGTCTTATTCTGAGGATTCATGGAGGCAGGATAGTCATTTCAGCCTGAGGTAGAAGTAAGAGCCAGTAGCTGGCTGCTTTGCTTTTCTGATCTTCAGGTTGAACCCCAATATCTGTTTCTGGGTTTTTATTAATCGTGCTACAAAGGAAGGCAACTTATAGAAGAGTTTGTTGGGGCTTAAAGTTTCAGAGGGTGAGTACGTGGCCATCATGGCCAGGAGCATGACCTCTGGAAGGCAGGCATGGCACTGAACAGTAGCTGAGAGCTTACATGTTAAGACACAAGCAGGAGGCAGAGAGCAGAGGGGGGTGGAGAGGGAGACAGAGACAGACAAAAATGGTGTGGGCTTTTGAAACCTCAAAACCCGCCCCCATTGATACACCTTCTACAAGGCCACACTTCCTAATTCTTCCCAAACAGTTCCTGCACGTGGGACCCAGGTATTCAAAAACATGAGCCTATGGGGGCCATCCTCATTCAAACCACCACAGTAGCTCACACCTAGAACCCCAGTTCTTACTGGGGAGGTTGAGGAAGGAGGATTGGAGTAAATTGGAGGCCAGTTTGAGTTCCAGGCCAATCAGAAATACATAGCAAGACCCTTCTTTAGCCTTCCTCACCTAAAAATAAAAACAAAAAAAAAATTGAGAAGTAAATAAACGGAAGGGCAATCATGGTTGTTGGTCAGCGCCGGGTAAATGCAAAACACCCTGCAGAGGCTTTCTTTCTCCGTTACACTTTTTAATCCTTCTGCTTCCACTTCCCAGGGCTTTTTGCTTTTGTTTTTCGAGGCAGGACCCAGGCTTTTTGCTTTTGTTTTTCGAGGCAGGACCCAGGCTTTTTGAGGCCCAGGCCGAATAGTACTTCTCTCTTCTCTTGTGCTCAACCTAGCCCACTCCCTGCCGCAGCTACACACAGGACTTCCTCAGGTTCTGTTCCTGCACTTTGCATTGATCCCTTGTGTTTGTCAAAAAAAGTATCTTGTCTACACTTTGTACGTCTGAGGTTGTGACAGTCAGACGAAGCGAACCTTTGGGTCTAAATCCCGACTTTACCTAAGGCTGTCACAGAGCCCCTCCCCTACAGAACCGCGGATTCAATTTAAAAGCCTGTTATTGCCGGAAGCACTTCCTGCTCCGCAGATAGTGATAATGTTGTTTATATGTTAAGCCTGACTGCACTGACAATTACGGTCATCTCGGGTCCCCAGGGAGTTTATCGTGCACCTGTGTGTGTCTTGCACACAGCTTGCAGGTGGTTCTACACAGTCAGTGCTGTTTCCGGCTGCGGGTGTCAACCCTGGCCAGACTAACTGGTAACTTCAACTGCAGACACTTGCGACTCCGGGCACCAGTTCTGACCGCGCTCACCGTAAGACGAATTCTTTTGCCACCTCTGGGCCTTGCGACTGCCACAAAGCTTGCCTACCACCCTGAGATCTCCGTAACTAAAGAACTCCATTCCCTTCAGCGCAGCCTGCCCGAGGAACTACACTTCCCAGAAGAAACCAGGGCCGCTACGTCCTCTCCCAGCGTGCTCTAAGGTTCGGCAAGCCGCTGCAATTAACCCCTTAGTAGCAGCAGCCTACTTTTGAAACACAACCAGCACAGGTATCCAGCTTGGATGCGGGCGATACGGGTCCTCGGTGGAACTGAAGATCTAAATTACCTGGGAGCCTGGGAAGGCAGGAAACCCAAGATTTTGTTGGGGTGGGGAGGGAGTCCCATAGAGAACTCCGCCTCCTCGGAAAACTAGGACCCTAAAGGTTTTCCCCTAACCGAACTTTTTTTTTTGCCCTGGATAAACCGCCTGTCCTCTCGACACGTACCTTCTCCTCAAATAGCAAGTAGCAAGTTCTCCTCTTTGCAAGTAGCAAAGAGGGCGTGAGGGCAAAGAACCAGACCGCGGTTCTTTCTTGCACCCCCCACTACAGCTACCCCACCCCACACCTGGTGTAAGAATAGGGCTGTGCACAAATGAGGCATTCCCTCCTAGTTCTGCTCCCTGCCCAGACTAGAGGGCAGCTGGGAGGGAGCCTCTCCGCCCTGTATTTGTGGTGACAGCAGGCTAGGTCTGCTGCTGCTGGCCCAACACACAGTTGAGTTTCCACCTCCGTGGATGCTAGAGAAACTCAGAGCCAGTCTAAGCTGTGGTCGAGCAGATAGAGCCAGCTGAACAGATGGTGAGAACCACTGAACTCTGGGAGCTCTGAAGTCAGGATGTGGATGGGGAGAAAGCAAGCCTCCCTCCACTGTTCTACTGTGTGTAGTGGGAGGGACAGGTGGGTGGGTGAGCACGGAGGACACAAGGTAACAGGCTTCAGCAAGGATCTGAACTGTATTCTAAAAGCGGGTGTGGAAGCCCATGCAAGGAAAGCATTGGTGAGCAAGACAGCCATCCTGCCATCCTGCCTTCCAGCTTTAGCTTCCTGGTCCCCTGGCTTTGCTAGCACTTTGGATGGGAAACAGAGAATGCAACTAGGTCAGCATTTTCCTGCCTATCCTAGATGGCCATGTGCCTCTCTGCCTCCCCCTCTGTAAAACCTTGGTGACAATTCCTACTCAACAAGATAATCTTCTGGCACAACCTGTTGCCCTCTTCCCACTACAGGGGCCGCCATTCCGCCTTCAGAATGCCGGAGGGCCCAGAGCTGCACCTCGCCAGCTGCTTTGTAAATGAGACATGTAAGGGGCTGGTATTTGGCGGGTGTGTGGAGAAGTCCTCTGTCAGCCGCAACCCTGAGGTGCCCTTTGAGAGCAGTGCCTACCACATCTCAGCCGTAGCCCGAGGCAAGGAGCTGCGCCTGACTTTGAGCCCCCTGCCTGGTGCCCAGCCCCCTCAGAAGCCGCTGTCCCTTGTCTTCCGCTTCGGTATGTCTGGATCCTTCCAGCTGGCACCTGCAGATGCACTGCCGCCCCATGCCCATCTACGCTTTTACACGGCCCCACCTGCCCCCCGGCTTGCCCTCTGTTTCGTGGACATCCGCCGTTTTGGCCACTGGGATCCTGAGGGTGAATGGCAGCCAGGCCGTGGACCCTGTGTCTTGCTGGAGTATGAACGGTTCAGGTAGGACTATGTATTCTAGAATACCATCCAGGCCCCCGAGAGACAAATCCTAGCCCCGAATGAGCCTCAGTCTCCTGTCTATGGATTGAGATGGTGTCAGGGCAGGCCAAAGGAAGGACAGCCAAAGGTCTGAGGACACAGAGACAGCATTAGAGTTGGACTGGGGCCCAGCATCCCACCTTGCTTCCCGGTGGCCCCAGGCCATCAAGGAAGGTGGAGGGCTTTCAAAGCACCCTAAGAAACGACCTGCACAGTGGGGAGAGGGTGGTCTAGTGACTGTTAGTCAGGTTTTGGTGGTCCTCACAGTCTGCCTGGGGCCTCTTCTGATTGTCCGTTTTCAGACTTTCCTCTAAACAGGCAATAAGAGTCTTTACTCCAAAACAGACCCTGTAGGGTACAGCAGTGGGCAGGGTAAATGTGTCCCTTTGTCCATGGCACTGATACGCAGATAAGGCATGGGGCCAGGACACCACAAAATAAATTCACAGACCTTTAGCCAAGTGTGGGGAGCATGTCAGGAACGGCCACTCACGGGAAGTGATCTTTGAACTGAGATCTGGCTGGTGGAGGTGAAGTCAACTATGTAAACTCCAGGAGAGTCTTGGCAGGAAATGAAAGTGTCTCTGCAGGTCTGGGGTGGACCTGGCACATTCTCATTTTCCTTCTTGGGAACAGATTGTGCCTCTGTCGAGCCCTAGACTTGGTCACATCTCTGTCACAGAAGCACTTGACTCAGGAAAGCCACTATCCATAGCTCTCGGTTGTCATTGTCTGTCTTTCCTTGGGAGGTGAGGGCTATGGACTGTTTGCCAGGAGGTTCTAGTTTATCTCTTGACTGACTTCAAAGCTGTTTCCATGGTCCTCCAGCTGGGTGCCTTGGGTGGGAGGGGGGTTAGAACCACACAGAAGCAGCTACATTTTTTTTTTTCTTAGAATGTCTCATCACACTCATGCCCACCACCCAGCCAGTCTTCATACTTTGAGGGAGTAGGGGCAAGTTGAGACAGGATTTCACCCTATCCCAGGACGGCCTGGCATTTGATACATACTCATAGCAGTGGGGTTATTGCCTCACCAAGGTGTGTGTGTGTACAGGGGTACAGGGTCTTATCACAGAGCCCTGCCTGGCCTGGGATTAGCTATGTCAGTAAGGCAGGCCCCAGACTTGCCTCTGTCCTTCTGTCTCAGCCCCTCCAAGTATTGGAACTTCAGGTGTGAACTACCATGCCTAGCTGAACATTTTTGATTCTTTAATAATAAACAATCCCGCTGGGCAGTGATGGTGCACGCTTTTAATCCCAGCACTCAGGAGGCAGAGGCAGGTGGATCTCTGTGAGTGCGAGGCCAGCCTGGTCTATAAGAGCTAGTTCCAGGACAGGCTCCAAAGCTACAGCGAAACCATCTCCAAAAACCAAAATAATAATAATAATAATAAACAATCCCATGTTATTCCCATGTAGCAAATAGGAAAACTGAGGCTCCAGCTGTCCCAATAGTACTGAAACCAGACAGTACTGAGACCGTTCCTCCTTGCATTCAGGAATTGCTCCCCCCCCCCCCTTCCCGCTGCCCTTTATCCCTATCCTGAGGTGTGGGATGGGTCTCATGCATCCGGCTTGCCCCCCCTCCCCCAGGGACAACGTACTTCGGAACCTATCAAACAAAGCCTTTGACCGGCCCATTTGTGAGGCTTTGTTGGACCAGAGATTCTTCAATGGCATTGGCAACTATCTGAGGGCAGAGATCTTGTACCGGTCAGCAGGCAGGCTGTGGGAACAATGGCTGGGGTGGGGCATGGGTGATCCTATCCACTACTTAGCCTGGGCCCTCCCCACTGTTCCAGGCTGAAGATCCCCCCTTTTGAGAAGGCCCGCACAGTTCTAGAGGCCCTGCAACAGTCCCGGCCGGTGAGGACGGTGTGTAAGAATGTGTGTGGGTTTGTGTGGCAAGGGTAGAGCCAGGTGTCTCTACCTCAGCTCACTAAGTGTGTGGAGGGTGAGGAGGGGGTGTGAACCACATCAGAGGTCTTGCTGAGTTCAGAGGGCAAGTCCACTGTTTTCAGCGTGAGGTGGGATGTGTTAACACCTTGGTTCTACCCATTCCCCCTTCAGAGCCCAGAGCTGACTCTGAGCCAGAAGATCAAGGCCAAACTGCAGAACCCAGACCTGCTGGAACTGTGTCACTTGGTACCCAAGGAAGTGGTTCAGCTGGGTGAGGCCTGGGAAGCCAAGATGGCCAGTGCTCTCTGCTTTAGCTCTGAGATACTGGGCAGCTAACCTCTTGACCCTAGACAATGGGAGTTTGCTAAACAGACCAGGTCTCTTGGCAAGTTCCCACTTCCTCCCAGCTTCCCATGCAGTAGGAAGGACAAGGATTCATCCTTGCTGATGGAGAGGGGCCAGGAGCCAGAGTGGGAGGGTGCCAGCCCAGTCACAGTGGGAGAAGACAGTGTGGCCCTGACTCGGTCCATCAGCTTCTTTAGCTGAGCTCTGAGCCATGGTGAACCTTTGTTCCTCCCACTCCACAATGCTCCCTCACCTGACTGGTTCTTCTGTCCCTCAGGGGGCAAAGGCTATGGGCCAGAGCGTGGAGAGGAGGATTTTGCTGCCTTTCGAGCCTGGCTGCAGTGCTATGGCGTGCCAGGCATGAGTTCCCTGCGAGACCGGCACGGCCGTACCATCTGGTTCAAGGTTTGAGCCCTACTGCTCCCATAAGCACATGGAGACCCTAGGGAAGCTGGTGGGGCAACAAGATAGGAGGCAGAGGTCTAGCCAGGTGGAAGTCTGCCAAAGATAACATCATTCCTGAATGTATAGTTCTCCAATGTGATCCTCTTCTCCTTGGAGCCCCAGGGTTCAAGCCAGTAGAACAGCTGAAAGCAGCTGTTTGTGTGTGCGCATGTGTGCTCACATATGTACACACACACACACACACACACACACACACGGTTGGAGGGACTCAAAGGCTTCCTAGACAGGGAACTGTACTGATCTGAAAGGATATGTCCTTGCCACTCCAAGGAAAACTGTCCCTTCACCAGACCAGGTTGATTCCAGAATTATTCTCATTCCATTTTAGGGTGATCCTGGACCCTTGGCACCCAAAGGTAAGCAGTTCTTAATGAAAGAGATAAAGAGCTGGAAGACCAAGGGCTGGCTTTGCACCCCATCCTCCATCCCTCTCCAGCCTTGGAGTCACCCAGCAGTTGGAGTCTAGAGAGGGATGCTCTCTAACTCCAGAGCAATGTCCTGCAGGGGGCAGATCCCGGAAAAAGAAGTCAAAGGAGACACAGCTGGGGGCCGAGGTCAGAAAAGAGGTAGGAGAGCCGGCCCTGCCTCTTTTGTGCTTACTCCTGGCCAGCGGTCTCCCCCCCCTCTCAAGGGTGTG